TTATTTTATGCAGGGGATTACCGGGAATATCGCAAACCTTCCCTTATATCCTAAAATAATCCCTGATATTAGTAATACCATATACAGTAGAACTACCTCCCTGTAAAGGACAACACCTAATTGCAGAGCCAAAGTGTCCTTTAGGGAGAGATGTCCTCTTACCAGAGAGTTACTAAATATAGTAGAACTACCTCCCTGTAAAGAACAACACCTAATTGCAGAGCCAAAGTGTCCTTTAGGGAGAGATGTCCTCTTACCAGAGAGTTACTATATATAGTAGAACTACCTTCCTGTAAAGGACAACACCTAATTGCAGAGCCAAAGTGTCCTTTAGGGAGAGATGTCCTCTTACCAGAGAGTTACTAAATACAGTAGAACTACCTCTCTGTAAAGGACAACACCTAATTACAGAGCCAGTCTTTTAGGGAGAGTTGTCCCCTTACCAAAGAGTTGCTAAAAAGTAAAAATGGTAATTTTGCAAATGAAAACTGCTCTTTATAAAGACCTATCCGCTAGCGGGGTACCTGTTAAAGAGAGGTTCTACTGTATTAAAGCATGGTTATAGTGAATATATGGTTATAGTGAACCAAAAGTCGGTCCCATTGAGGTTCACTATAGAAAGGTTTTACTGTGTATTGTTAAAACATTTGTTGTGACTCTTTACTTGGAGTCATCACCTACATTAATTCAACTCTACTCTACCTCAAACTTCTCACCTGACAACACAATCTTGGTATAAAATATGGTTCATTAACCCCCCACCTGTTATAGGAAATTTAAACTGATAAAGCAAAATTTGGAAGATAGATTATGGCTATAATCAAATAAGACCTAATCCAAATAAATTCGTAATTTGTGATGTTTCGGTAACAGCGTTGTTACCATCATTAGACAAAAGAATAAAATAAAATTAATTTTTTTTTTATGCGAATGATTCTTTTTGAAATAAAACCATTTTCTACTTCTCTTGCGGCAATGATAAAATAATGGGAGGGCCTGGCTCATCAGTGGTGAACCCTTCCAGCGGTTTCATCAGTTTACCATGCCGCTGTAATATTGTATTTGGCTGTTTTTCTTTTATACCGATACTGAAGCTAAACTTTTGGAAAAGTTATTTTGATTGAACTATGGACATAAGCTTTAGGACTACCTTCCTGTAAAGGACAACACCTAATTGCAGAGCCAAAGTGTCCTTTAGGGAGAGATGTCCTCTTACCAGAGAGTTACTAAATACAGTAGAACTACCTCTCTGTAAAGGACAACACCTAATTACAGAGCCAGTTTTTTAGGGAGAGTTGTCCCCTTACCAAAGAGTTGCTAAAAAGTAAAAATGGTAATTTTGCAAATGAAAACTGCTCTTTATAAAGACCTATCCGCTAGCGGGGTACCTGTTAAAGAGAGGTTCTACTGTATTAAAGCATGGTTATAGTGAATATATGGTTATAGTGAACCAAAAGTCGGTCCCATTGAGGTTCACTATAGAAAGGTTTTACTGTGTATTGTTAAAACATTTGTTGTGACTCTTTACTTGGAGTCATCACCTACATTAATTCAACTCTACTCTACCTCAAACTTCTCACCTGACAACACAATCAGGAGTTAAATAAACTATTGGTTAATGTAGCTGTGTTTTTCTCTCAATCAACTTCCAATCACCAAATGATTTTCATAAACAAAAACTTGAGTTAATAATATTTTTTACAAAACACTTTTCCTTAGATGAATGATAAGGCACAATTTGGATTATTGATTATAAAACACAAGGTTTTAAAATTACAAAATATTTTCTCACAATGAGTTTCTCTTTATTTCAAAACGCTAGCTTTCAAGTGATAATCGCTCTTCAACGGACTTAATAAAACAATATCGACTATATCCTACAAGAAATATTTACAAATTGTGAGAAAATATTTTGTAATTTTAAAACGTTTTTCACAATTTAATCATGAATAAAACTCAAGGTATTTATTTGGATTTGGTCTTATTACATTGTGTACCTTAGATTAAAATTTTTCCTCTCCAATGAAGGTTCCATATACAATGGGTTGTATACCAGGTGGCTTTTCCCGAAGACTACCCCTACGAGCCAATCCCAAACATTGTGGAGACCCCTCCAGCCAAGAACTTCCCCTTTGAGCTAGACATGTTCCAAAAGGAAGCCGTCCTATGTCTGGAGTCCAACCACTCAGTATTGGTGTCCGCCCACACCTCAGCTGGCAAGACTGTGGTGGCAGAGTAAGTCCACACTTTTTTTTGGTATTTTTAATTTTTTTTTATTATCCCATTGTATAGTTATACAGTAGGACTACTTCTTTGTAAAGGACACCTAATTGCAGAGCCAGTGTCCTTTTACCATGGAGTTGCTAAATTGTAAAAATGGTAATTTTTGCAAATGAAAACTGTCCTTTATAGAGAGGTGTCCGCTAGTGGGGTGTCTGCTAAAGGGAGGTTCGACTGTATATGAAAAATAATATAAGAAATTATTTATAAAAATAGGCACAGTAACTATGATGCAACAATATACAATAGAATCTCCCTGTAAAGGACACCTAATTTCAGAGCCAAAGTGTCCTTTACGGAGAGGTGTCTTCTTACCTGAGAATTGCTAAATAGTAAAAAGGACCATTTTTCAAATTAAAACCTTCCTTTGTAGAGAGGTGTCCTCTAGCGGAAGTGTCCTCTCATAGAGGTTCTACTGTATTGGTAATGGAAACTGTCCTTTGTAGAGAGGTGTCCCCTAGCGGGAGTGTCCTCTCATAGAGGTTCTACTGTATTGGTAATGGAAACTGTCCTTTGTAGAGAGATGTCCCCTAGCGGGAGTGTCCTCTCATAGAGGTTCTACTGTATTGGTAATGGAAACTGTCCTTTGTAGAGAGGTGTCCCCTAGCGGGAGTGTCCTCTCATAGAGGTTCTACTGTATTGGTAATGGAAACTGTCCTTTGTAGAGAGATGTCCCCTAGCGGGAGTGTCCTCTCATAGAGGTTCTACTGTATTGGTAATGGAAACTGTCCTTTGTAGAGAGATGTCCCCTAGCGGGAGTGTCCTCTCATAGAGGTTCTACTGTATTGGTAATGGAAACTGTCCTTTGTAGAGAGGTGTCCCCTAGCGGGAGTGTCCTCTCATAGAGGTTCTACTGTATTGGTAATGGAAACTGTCCTTTGTAGAGAGGTGTCCCCTAGCGGGAGTGTCCTCTCATAGAGGTTCTACTGTATTGGTAATGGAAACTGTCCTTTGTAGAGAGGTGTCCCCTAGCGGGAGTGTCCTCTCATAGAGGTTCTACTGTATTGGTGATGGAAACTGTCCTTTATAGAGAAGTGTCCCCTAGCAGGAGTGTCCTCTCATTAAAGTCCTACTCTATAACCAAGACCTAATGATTGTGAGAAAATATGATTTACAGATCCCAAATTTCAACTTCCAATTATTCTCTCACAAAAATTATTCTTTAGAGAAAAGGATCAAAATTTTTTGCAATAATGTGAAAAAAATAGTACAAATATGAAATTGTACTGATTCATAAATTAAGAAAAAGGCATCTCCTATTGTGCAACTAAAAGTTGCTGATGGCTCACACCATCTTTCGGAATAAATATCAATTATTCCGTTGATTTTTAAATATTCCCCCAGAATTGACCAAATACCCATTCATGATTAATCAATAAAAGCAAGAAAAGGTACAGCTTGCACCACGCTGACGAGGGCCAACAGCCTGAAACATGTACATGGTTAGCTTTTTGCGATTAATCAAGAATGGGTATTTGGCCAATTTTGGAATAATTTAAAAATCAACGAATAGTTAATATTTATTCCGGCAGATGGCGCAAGCCATCAGCAACTTTCAATTGCACGATAAGGAGATGCTTTTATTTTTTTCTTTCATAATAAGTTTGTTTATTATAAAAACAGAAATTCCAAGCCCTCACTCAGTAAAAGTGACCCACCAAGCTGTTGGTATATTCAGTTTTGATGTGTGAAATTGCAGATAGGAATGGCAGGTTTTGATAATAACACTGGTCTACACTGAAAAATATATTTTTGATAATGCATCAGTTTCTGACTTGAGGTGCTGATCACGAATATAATGTTAGTTTTCATGTATCTCATCAATATTTAGAGATATAACATATACATATTTAGGCCACAATGTGGTTCATCAATCCATATAAGCAGTAAGAAAAACACATTGAACGCAAATAAAAACTGAGAACGTCATACCAAAAGGTACTTTATTTACTGTAGTATAAGAAACTCGAATCTACAAAAAAAAATGTAAAATGCTACAGTCAATCCTTCATGAATTTCAACCTGTTTGATTTTCTCTTATAAGTGTATTCCGGCAGGTCGCGGGACAGATTCCAGCAGTAATCTGCCATCATGTGGCAGTCACCTTGATATCTCTCTTCCATCACTTTCATGTCTTGATGGAATCGCTCGCCTTGTTCATCACTACCTTTTGATTATAATCAAACCTTATTGTGTTCTTTATAATATTGTCACGTAGAAAATTAGGAAAGACTTAGAATAACCTGGCAATTTAATTAATGCAAAACAAAATGTATGAACACATTGTAATAATATTTATAAAATAATAGACACTTTGGCCAGATGAAGTTTTCTTTTCTCTAAGTTTCAGCAAAAATCTTTTGTCCTCATCAGGAGAAATAAAGCATTTGGTGAAGTGTTGAAAATTATTCTGAGGTTGCAAGGGTGTTCTCAAGCGCTTTTTCAAATTGACTATGATATATACAGTAGAACCTCCATGAGAGGACACCTCTTTACAAAGGGCAGTTTTCACACACACATTTGCAAAATTACCATATTTACAATTTAGAATATTTCCAGTAAGAGGCCGCCTCTCCCTAAAGGACAATTTAGCTCTGCAATTAGGTGTCCTTTACATGGAGGTAGTTCTACTGTATATGTATAATTGTCTTGGCGATTAGTCACATGGAATCGCAGTCTGTCCAGGACGATAACTCAATAATTATTTATTTTAAAAAAGATACCACAACTCGGAATTGAACTAGGGACCTATAGATCTTCAGTCTTAACACTCTCACAACTGGGCTATTTGTGGTTGTATGTATTTGTAGGCGGTGTCTACCCACTAAAGTTCTGAATCTACCTGTGTGTGTATGTGCCAGGTACGCCATCGCCATGTCACTGGCTCGCCACCAGAAAGTTATCTACACCACTCCCATCAAGGCTCTCAGCAACCAGAAGTACCGGGAGTTTGCCCAGGAGTTTGGGGATGTTGGACTTATGACCGGTGACGTCACCATCAATGACACTGCCAGCTGTCTCATCATGACCACTGAGGTTTGTTTGTTTGTACCTCTATTCTGGTAGTTGGCATGGTTCATAATTACATACTATATTATTGGTGGTGTCTTGTCCATGGAACAGATCAGATCGGTCCATGCACCCTGATCACAATTCCGACCAACTGAGGTGCCTTCTTATGGATGTCTTTGTGGTGATGGTGTCTTGTCCATGGAACAGATCAGATCGATCCATGCACCCTGTTCACAATACAGACCAACTGAGGTGCCTTGTCCTTATGGATGTCTTTGTGGTGATGGTGTCTTGTCCATGGAACAGATCAGATCGATCCATGCACCCTGATCACAATACCGACCAACTGAGGTGCCTTGTCCTTATGGATGTCTTTGTGGTGATGGTGTCTTGTCCATGGAACAGATCAGATTGATCCATGCACCCTGTTCACAATACAGACCAACTGAGGTGCCTTTTCCGTATGGATATCAATGTGGATCACTTCTCGGCTTTTGGCTATGATCAAAATGTAGTGCTTTATTAATAATTATGTAATAAAAAGGCACAATTTGGATTATAGATTATAAACACATGGTAATAAGACCAAATCCAAATAAATGAATAGTGTGTGACGTTTCGGTAACAACGTTGTTACTGAAATATGATACATTATTTATTTAATCAGATTTGGTCTTATTACCTTGTGTTTATAATTATGTAATTAAAGGTGCTGATAAAGAATGAGTCGCACACCACAATTTTGGAAAAAATTGAGACAAAAACCAATAAGACCAACTAAATAAATAGTGTGTGATTTTTGGTAACAGCTTTGTTACCATAATACTATAATAGATTCAGTACTCTTAGCCTGATGATGGTTACAACGCTGTTACCGAAACATCATGCGCCATTTATTTATTTTGTTTTATCACCTTGTATTTTGAATCACAAGGTGTAATAATCAATAAATAAGCTCTTACAACAGAACAACAGTCTTTGATTTCCAGACTTAAGACTAAAACATTTTAATAAAGCTTTTTTTCTATTTTATTTTTTATTTTGCTTTCTATGGAAGCAAATACTGTAAAAAAAAGTTAAGCTTCAAATTCTTATAACCATCATTCATCAACTGAGGAATTTTTTTATTAAGACAAAAAATCTTAGTGCATGTATCATATGTAAATTCCAATGTTTTCTTTTTCATTCTTTTATTCATTTTATATATATTTTTTCCCTCGGATTTACCCTTACAAATCTGTTAATGAGCTCAATTGTCATAATTATGTTTTCTTGTGTATAAATTGAATTATCAATATTGATTGTGATTAGCTTTTACTCTTTTTTTTATCTTCATTTGTATAGAATCCGTGGTAAATCCATGTATAATAAATGTCTTTTCCTCCAATTTACCCAGACTAATCTATTAGCTTGATTGTCTTTATATAATTTTTCCTGTATATAAATATCATATTACCATTAAGGTACTATTACTGTTATTCCTGTATGTACCCTACATTTTGGCTTGGAGAATCTGTATAAGACTAAATGGTCTTAATAAAGCTTTTTGTTGTTGTTTTCACCTCCTGTGTCTGTCCACAGATCCTCAGGAACATGCTGTACCGGGGGTCCGACACCTTGAAAGGCATGGCTTGGGTGATATTTGATGAGATCCACTATATGCGGGACAAAGGTAAGTTGTGTTGTTGCCATGTGACCTAGGATTACATAGTACACTAGAACCTCCATGAGAGGACACTCACACTATAGGACACCTCTCTACCAAGGACAGTTTTGATTTTCAAAATTATAATTTTTTCTATTTATCAACTCTTTGGCTAGAGGACACCTCTTTACAAAGGACAGTTTTCATTTGCAAAATTATCATTTTTCTATTTATCAACTCTTCGGCTAGAGGACACCTCTCTACAAAGGACAGTTTTGATGTGCGAAATTATCATTTTTACTATTTAGCAACTCTCCAGGAAGAGGATACCTCTTTCTAAAGAACACTTTGACCCTACAATTAGGTATTGTACTTTACAAGGAGGTAGTTCTACTGTAGTGTACGGTGTGACGGCAGACAGAGGCGTGGTGTGGGAGGAGAGTCTGATCCTGCTGCCCAACCTGGTGCGGATGGTGTTCCTCTCAGCCACCATTCCCAACGGCCTTCAGTTCGCCCAGTGGATCTCCTGGCTGCACCAGCAGGTATCAATCCTTCCTTCTGTCTGTTTTTGGACCTTTTTTTCTACTTTTGCAACATCATTTGTTGCTTGGAAGTTTGTTATTGTGTCCAATGAAGAGCCTCAGATGTCTCCATACATCTCTATCACAGCAGTCGCAATGTCCACTATCTTTGGTGTGTAAAGCTGCTGCTCAGGGTCCATGTCAATTTTTTGTTGTTGTCGTGTCCAATGAAGAACCTCAGATGTCTCCATGCATCTCTATCACAGCAGCAGCAATGTCCTCTATCTTTGGTGTGTAAAGCTGCTGTTTTGGGTCCATGTCAATTTTCTGTTGTTGTCGTGTCCAATGAAGAACCTCAGATGTCTCCATACATCTCTATCACAGCAGTCGCAATGTCCACTATCTTTGGTATGTAAAGCTGCTGCTCAGGGTCCATGTCAATTTTCTGTTGTTATTGTGTCCAATGAAGAGCCTCAGATGTCTCCATACATCTCTATCACAGCAGTCGCAATGTCCACTATCTTGGGTGTGTAAAGCTGCTGCTCAAGGTCCATGTCAATTTTTTGTTGTTGTCGTGTCCAATGAAGAACCTCAGATGTCTCCATGCATCTTTATCACAGCAGCAGCAATGTCCTCTATCTTTGGTGTGTAAAGCTGCTGTTTTGGGTCCATGTCAATTTTCTGTTGTTGTCGTGTCCAATGAAGAACCTCAGATGTCTCCATACATCTCTATCACAGCAGTTGCAATGTCAACTATCTTGGGTGTGTAAAGCTGCTGTTCTGGGTCCATGTCAATTTTCTGTTGTTATTGTGTCCAATGAAGAGCCTCAGATGTCTCCATACATCTCTATATCACAGCAGTCGCAATGTCCACTATCTTTGGTGTGTAAAGCTGCTGCTCAGGGTCCATGTCAATTTTCTGTTGTTGTTGTTGTGTCCAATGAAGAACCTCAGATATCTCCATACATCTCTATCACAGCAGTCGCAATGTCCACTATCTTGGGTGTGTAAAGCTGCTGCTCTGGGTCCATGTCAAGTTTCTGCAAGGCTTGGAAGGCTTGTAGTGAAGAGAATAATCACCTGTTTTTAATATAAGTTCAAGATGACCTCTGTTTCACTTTTTATTTCACAAAAAACATTTATCAAAAATCAAGAAAAAAATATGCCTACCAATCTGAGCCTCATCTTGTCTCTCTATCTTTATCCTCAGATTACCACTCAACTATATACAGAAGAACCTCCATGAGTGGACACTCACGCTAAAGGACAGTTTTCATTTACAAAATTTCCTATTTTTACTATTTAGTAACTCTCTGGTAAGAGGACATCTCTCCCTAAAGGACACTTTGGCTCTGCAATTAGTTATTCTTTACAGGGAGGTTCTACTGTATTTGATCAAAACATAATTTATTTACTTTTAATTGAAAAGGCATATACAGTAGAACCTCTCTGTAAAGGACAACACCTAATTGCAGAGCCAGAGTGTCCTTTAGGGAGAGCTGTTCTCTTACCGGAGAATTGCTAAATAATAAAAATGGTAATATTGCAAATGAAAACTGTCCTTTATAGAGAGGTGTCCTCTAGCGTGAGTGTCCTCTTATGAAGGTTCTACTGTATTTACATTGACCAATTTTTAAAATTTAATTCCTGACATTTCGGTCACTTTCTAGCATTCTCTTCAGGGGATTGATTAACCCAAGGAGAATGACAGAGTGACATCAATCTTTCTGTCTGTTCAGCCTCGTTTGTTGGTTGGAAGTTTGTTTGGAAAATCATCTATATTTACATCAACCAATTCTTTAAGGCGAAACCACTGGGAGGGTTTACCACTGATGAGCCAGGCCCTCCCATTAATTTATCATTGCAGTAAGGGCAGTAGAAAATTGATTTATTTTTGAAAAGAATCATACGCGCCTGAAATAGTCTCAATTTCTTATAGACTCAATTATATATAAGATGTCAAGACTGTAGGCCTCTCTCAGACTTTTTGTCTGTTACATCCCCTTTGTCTAAACACAAGGTAATAAGACCAAATCCATAAAGATAAATAGTGTGTGACATTTCGATAACAGCGTTGTTACCATCTTCAGACAAAAGTGCTGGATGAGAATGATAAAGCACAATTTGGATTATAGATTATAATACAAGAAAATAAGACCTAATCCAAATAATTTATTAGTGTGTGACGTTTTTGGCAACAGCATTGTCACCATCATCAGACAAAAGAATAAATGAGCCATCATTTATGCAGCAAAAAATTTCTGTGATATTTTTTCTCATTTATTGTCTGATGATGGTGACAATGATGTTGCCGAAACGTCACACACTAATAAATTATTTGGATTAGGTCTTATTTTCTTGTATTATACTGAATGAGAAAATAAATTACAGCATCTACTTATATATTTGCCTTATTCTGTCTGTTTGTTTGTCTGTTTGTCTGAAGCTCACGGATAGAATGCGCGCTCATTGGCTGTCAGGGAACACGTGTCCTCCCTGCCCCCCTCTAGACAACCCTGTTATTCAAAAACCATACATCCAATCGCCATGAAATTCTGGGATATTATTAGGTATATCCCCGGAAAGGTTTCCGAAAAATAATTTCTTGAATATCTTG